GTTCTAGTGTATAATCAAGGTAAGGAGTTTGAATACGAGTGTTAGAAAGAGATCAATTTAGCATGTTTGATTCGAAGAAATTATAAATTTAAGACCCATATTTATCGGGTAAAAAAAGTAACTTTAAAACACATTAATGATTTTTTCTCGCTTTTCTAGGTAAAACATTCATTGTTTTTATATGCTAGAATTTGTCTTCTGATATGTCAAAAAAAGAACAAGAATGAAGAAGATGGGTAAAAAATTTTTACCTGCTATCTTCTTCTTTTTTCATTAATTTTAATCTTACAAATAAGGAAAACAAAAATTTGGAGGCCGTAAATCCAATCAATTATTCTACTTTTTTCTTCTTATCTTTTCTTGCATACTTAATAGTAGTAATTAACTAACATAATAAGAAATAAATTTTATAGGTTCAAGATCAATTCAGTTGTTCCCATTCCCAAAAAGGTTGTGATAGCCCATCAACCATCTCTGAGTTGCTTTGTGTTGTAGACGCATTCGTAACTGGCAAATCAACTTGGTCTCCTCCTGAATACGATGTTTCTGGTGAGGTTGATATTGTGGCACGAAATGATGTCTCAACTCCATTGATAGGAAGCTTCCTCTCTATCCCATAAGTTTCTATGGGACGTCTGTCAAAAGCTCTCGAGCTTCCTGACTTTATGTAGATTCGACAAAGACTGAATTCGTGCCTCAACTATATCAAATAAAAAGCAACTAATCCTGTTAATACCTCTTTTGATCAAGAAAATGTCACTTTTGTTTTTCTTATGTATTATTTAGTACTTTTACACACTAGCTAGCTATGCACCTCATGTATAGTCGGAATTATTATAAGAATCTAATTAGTATATATTATAACCAATAGAGAAAGAATGTATGCATGGTTTTTTTGGTTTTAATCATTTTATGTATGCATGTTTTTTTTTGCTAAACAATGTATGCATGGTTTAAGTTCGACAATTTCAAATAGTAAAAAACATGTAAATTTGAAATCTACCGTACAACCATTTCCAAATATATCACCTTCAAAAACACTATATTATAAGTTATGACTGGATTATTTATATGAGAGGTAAAAAAGCCCTTTATGATAGGTCTTGGACATAATCAAATGATAGCCAGCTTGATCTTTCTCTGCTCTAATCATTTTTCTAAAGCTTATTCGGTTAGTTATAACTTCACATGTTAGTCCAAAAGGTTTATAACTTCACATGTTAGTGCAAAAGGTGTGAGAAGTCAGTTAGTTTTTCATTTGGAATCCCACATCTAAAAAATGGTTTTTTTTTTGGGTTCAAATAGTTTTATTAAAAAGTGGTTTTGCACAAATGGAGTTTGATTAAAGCGTTTCATTGTAAAGTTTGTTTATGCACCTTAGGGTTGGTAGATACACTAGTTGTTTCGTCAACTGCCTTATATTCATTCATCTTCCACTTTGTCTTTCTCCCAGTAGGTGCTTTTCCGGTGTAGAAAACCATCGTCTTCTTAACTCCGATCACTCGGTTATCCGGCGAGAACACAGGCCCTGGTGAACCAGTTGCCTTCCAGTATCCTGAACCAGCGGTCCTGCTAGGTCGTCCTCCTCTAGCTTCCCGCTCTTGTCTTGGCACGAAGAAAAGCCATTGTTCTGCGTCTCCTCGACACCTCTCCCCCGCAAGATCTACACAAAAATATACCAACAATAAAATACACCTCTCAATTTCTTTGCAAGGTTTCATTTTCAATTGATGTGCTTGCGTTTACATTTTTATGAAAACAGTTTTAGAAAACTTTTTTCATTTTTCAGAATGTAAACGCAAGCGACATACATATGTAGAAAGTCCTTTGATAGTTAATACTGATTCTGAAGTTTGCGCTACAATTAACGAAGTATTTTTGTTAAAAAACAGAATACACTATAAAGTCGAG